AGGCAACAGCTAACACTTAACGAGTGTGTGCCTATACACGTTGTTTGATTTAATTCTCACAGTAACCCTCTGAGGCAGATATAATTATTATCTTCCTTTAGAAATGAGGGCATTAAGGCTCAGATAGAGGATATGGCCAGTAAGGGGTGTGGCAAGATTCAGACCCAAGTCCAGCTCAGGGCACTGAGCACTTTGTCTCTTGGTCACTTCTACCTGTGCCCTTGGGGCTTCAGGAATTTGGTTTAGATAATTGTCTGGCCTTTGCAATAACTCTCACCCCCCAACCTTCCCCCCCCCCCCGGCCCCTGCCAACTTTAGATCTCTGTCATCTGGCTGGTGAGCTGAGAGTGTTCAGATGGCCAAAGTCTCTCTTGAATTCTGGCCACAACTGGGGATTTGGGGACCTGTCTGGCCTGCCTGGAAGGAAAGCCGTCCCATCTCCATGGGGTCACGTGGTCCCACCTGCTAAGAGCCTTTGGTGTCTCTGCTGATTGGGGCCTTGCCCTCCAAGTTCCTGTTTGAAAATCATCCAGAAAAGGACAAAGCCCTGGCCCGGGGAGAGAGGTTGCAAGCTGAACTGCCATCTTATCAGTCTGAAATCTTTGGATACACCCCATCACTTTCAGGGAGTTGAGGTGTCCCAAATCTGCCCTGGAGGCTGAGTGTTGTTGTCAAAACTAACAGTACTGGCTGATCCGGGGACACAGACACTCACAGGTTTGGGAAACAGTGTTACTAGCATACAGTAATTGTTACTAACAATACAATAATTTTGCTGAGAGCCCATTTTACAGATGGGAAAACTGCAGAGCAGAGAGGAGTTGAGTTGAGGAGGAAGGGCTTGACCCCAGGGCTCTGGAGTCCATTCTTGGTTTCCTTAGTCTTCTCTCATCCCACAAGTCCAGAGGGGAACTTAGTGTTGTCCCTCAGTAGGGACAAGATGCGGTCCCTGGCACTGGCTCCAGGGACTTGTCCAACGTCATACCTGGTAAAAGATGGAACGTAAGTTCAGAGCCGGATCTGCCTGCCCCACGCCTTCACAAATCCTTTGGGTTTGTCTCTTGAGGAAGGAAAACTCTTTTCCTCCTTGTTAATGAACATTCTTCACAGCCCGGCTCAAGGGTGCCCTCCTCCCAGAAGTCCTCCTTGATTTCCTGCTGTCCTTCTCCCCACGTGTCCCAGTCATTCCTCCTACCGCTGTCCTTGGGCCTGTCTTTTTCACAGCCATAGAGCTTGGTGGTCAAGGGCTGTGGCTTTGGAGTAGGGCAGCTGGGGATTCAAAGCCTTGGTTCTGACTTTTACTTGGTGTGTGACTTCAGGCAAATCCCTTCACTGCACTAGGCCTCAGTATTTTCCTCCACAAAATGGGCTACCACGGTACCTTTGGGTGTTGTCAAACTACATGAAGTAAGGTATATACAAGGTCTGGCACAAAGTTAGTGCTCAAATTATGGTGGCTGCTATTATCATCAGTAGAAGCTAAAGAACTGGTCCTGGCATTGAGGATCTCAGGTGCTCACTGTGGAGGTAATTGGCCCTTAATAACCTTCCTAGTCCAGCCCAGGCAGGGTGGGGAAAGTGCTGGGGGGCATTCCCTTACACCCTGGACCCCCTCCCCACACACACACCTGTCTTTTGTTCTGCCTAAGTGTCTTTTCTGGAAGAGCCTGAAGCTATAGCACCCTTTAGAATGATGCCCCCCTGTGGCTGAATGGGAACCTGCTTTGGGAGGAAGGGAGTAGATGGGGAGGTCTTATCTGTTTCACAGGTTCATCCAACAAGTTATTTGTTGAGGACCTACTATGTGTCAGGCACTGTGCCAGGTACTCAGGGTACATGGGTGAAGCATAAAAAAAACCCTGCTTCATGGAGCTTATAATCTAGTGGAGGGACAAAGGAATCAGAATGTATAATGCATCAGCTGGAGATTAGGATAAGACGGAGAATAAAACAGGACAGAGGGATTAAGTGATGGGCAGGGGACAGGTCCTGCAGGGCTCTTCAGGCTTTAGAAGAAGTTTCTAGGGCTACTGAGGAGCTCCTGAGGGCTTTAAAAGGAAGAGAGTAATGGATGTGGTGACTGTGTGTGAACAGACAGGGGCAAGGGCAAGAGCAGGGGGACCAACAAGGAAGTCACTGCAGTTGTTGACATGAGAGATGGACGATGGGCCAGGGAGATAGTAGGGAGGGATGATAAGTGGCTGGGTTTAGGACGCATTTGCAGCAGAAACTGGAGGACTTACTGAGGGACTGGACGTGGGGTGAGGCATGAGGCTACTGAGAGAGAGAGAGAGAGAGAGAGAGAGAGAGAGAGGGAGAGAGAGAGAGGAGAGAGAGAGAGATGCAGGCACATGGCACAGGAGCTTGCTCAGACCGGGAACCAGGCTGGACACTAGAAGTCAACAATGTTTGCTGCTCCGCTTCCCTGGCCTGGCCTGAGAAGGCAGAGGATGTTGAAGGGGGGAGGGGAGGACACAGTCATAGCCCTTGACAAGGGAGCAAAGCCCATTTTAAAGAAGGAAGACCTCCTTACTTGGCCCTGGGAGGGAGAAGTCCTGACACCAGTTTCCCCCTAAAATTCAGTTCGGATAGAGAGAGCAGCAGGGAACCCACATTTCTGTACCAACTTATTCCCCCATGAACTCAAAGTCAGCTTTAAGGAGTTCCTGGCAGGGATGGGCACACTTTATACTGTTGGTGGGCATGGGAAGGGGCCCTGTGGCTCGGAAGGGCACTTTCTCACACCCAAAGCAATCTCTTGAGGAAGCAACCAGACGTGTCCCAAACTGTACCTACAGGGTTTTGTTTAGCATGGTGTGGTTTACGAGACCAAACAGGAACAACACACGTTGCACAGTAGAGACTAATTTAAAATGTACTCATTAGGGCATCATCATGACAACTAACTTGCATTTTTCACTCAGTGATGAATTTTATGTATCTTTCCATTAGGACATGTCCTAATGGACTTCCTTGTTGGTCCCCCTGCTCTTGCCCTTGCCCCTGATGGTCTGTCCCTATATGTTGCAATATATCCTTGGCCCAGCCTATTTAATGCTAGGAGGATCCCACTCACCAGCCAATTTTTGGGATGATCCAAAATGCCTCAACTGAGAACTGCCCTGAATTCAGAAACCCCAGAACCAGTGGCTGTTGAGTATCTCCCCCACCGCTTTTTTTTTTAAACCTATGAAAGCCTATCTGGATGGCTGAACCTTTCCATCTGGGCCACCAGCACAAAAAACTAGGGCTGAAAACACCCTTACTTAGCCTTGAACCAGACTAGTGTGGTCCCTGGTTCTGTGGCTGGCAGTCCTTCTGAACTAGAGCCAGGTACCTGGCTGGTCTGTACTGTGGTAGCTGCAACAATTACACCAGCTGCCTCACTCACTTCCCCGGGCTGGGTGGGAGGCCAAAGAGGCCTTTGTAAATTCTACACGATGCAGGTTTTAAGCGTGTTTTTATGCTTTGTTCTGGTTCTAATAAACATAGCAGAAACCCTGAAGAGGGGTGGGGAGTGTCGAGTGTATTTATGTATACAGGGCTGGGGTTGGAGTGCACGTATATGTGGCATGATGGTTAAGAGCAGGAGCCTTGGGGGGCAGATAGGCCTTACCACTTACTGTGTGGTAAGCTGTGTGACCTGGGCTTCAGGGGTCGGCACTGTACAATGGGACCGTTGTGAGGCACTGAAGTACTTACAATGGTTGCTGTCATTACACAACTTCTTCAAAGCAACCCATTAGAAAGTACAAAGCGCCATTGTCCTCATTCTGGTTTTTAATGGTCAAGGTGACAATAATCCAGTTTCTCCAGACCAGCACTTAGTTTCATATTTACCTCCAACTGTGGCAGATGCTGCAGCCCCAGCAGCCCCCTGTCACTTTGGAGTCAGAAGCACCAAGCCAAGTCCCTTTCTCAGGTTGGATCCCCAAGACCTCCCCCACTCTGGGTAGAAGTAGTGTTGGCTCTTGGCTCATTGCAGGGGGTAAAACAGAAGAGAGAAAGTGATTGGTGATGACTGCCTGGAATGAGTACTGAGGCACGCTATGATTCAAAGCCAGAAAGTTCTGAGTCAGCGTTGATTCTAAGTCTGTGACTCACTTAACAGGGGGTGGAAAGGCTTCCATCCAAGACCCCAGTGATCCTCCTCTCTCAACCTTGCACACTTACAGGGGGAGGGTCTTGCCCTGGCTGGGACTACTGCCCACGTTGGTGCAAGTCAGAACTCAGCGGGCAGAGAAGAGCGGGGTGAAGCCTGCACACCAGAGCCATCTTTGTTACTCACCCTAACTTCAGTCAGCAGAAGCCTCCTGCAAATGCTACCACAGTACAAGGAGCTCGTAGCACAGGGAACCCACCCCTTCTTCAGTATGTGATTTGCCATGCGTCATCAGTGCTCAGTGGTATTTTGATTGTTTCTCTTTCAGACCAAGATACCCTGACTCTGAATTCATCTGGGTTGGCACAAGCTGTTTCCCAGTAAAAAGATACCCTGTGTACCTCCTAGGTACAGATTTCTGCATGTGGAGTAAATAAAGCAATGACAGAGCAGCCTGGATGATGAGGGAGGAAAGCGCTGAAGCAGGAGGTGTAGCTAGAATCTCAGCTGGCCAAGGCCTGGAGAGTGTAAACCTCCCAGGGTTTGAGTGAAAGGAGCACAGGGGCTGTGTGCCTCTGGATCTGACCTCATGCTTCAGGGGACTCTTGTTGCTGCTCAGTTTTATCCAGGCAAGAGATCTGTTCTTGTGGAAGTGAGTGGCTGCAAAAGCCTTTTTCTGTAAGTCCCCCCACTCCCTTCCCTACACAGGGGAAATCCTCCACTAGTCATCCTGGGGGCAGCGGGGGGACACACTAGTGGGTGGGTGTTGTGTGCCACATGCAATTTTTACGCAGAGGGGATGGAAAACTCCTCCCCACACACCTTAGACATAAATATGATTTTAAGATAATCAAAGCCTGCCTCAGTGGGAGAGGTTCTGTATAACATGCTGGTGATATTCCATTTTTTTGGTTGTTTTTATTTTTTTCTTTAAAGTCCTTTGATCGTCACAAAAACCCAGGAAATGCAACTAAGGAGAAAACAAATGTCCAACTGAAATCTAAGAACGCAGAGCTATGGAGGAGACGTGGCACTGGACTGCAGGGTGTGCAGGAGGGGGTGGAGGGGTGGTCTCCACGGGGCAGCTGGCCGTCGGGGACACAGGAAGGAGATGAGGCTGCTGGCTGGGCCAGGCAGTTATGTTAACCGCTGCACGATGACGGCATTGAGCAGGTTGGCTTCCTTCAGGGTCTGGCTCTCGTCAGCCAGCTCTTTGTTTGGGAAGGTGGTCATGAGGACAAAGCTGGTGGCAGCCATGGCCGGCCGGGCGTCCACGATGAAGAGTCGGATGTCGCTGATCCTGGTGGAGTGGGGGGAGTGGGGAGGTGGGTGAGCAGTGTTCTTCTCTGCCGCCCCCACCCCCTGCTTCAGGAAGCTGTATCATATCCCCAGGTCCCCTCCCCTGCCCAATCCTTCTCCACAGAGTGTCCAAAGCTCTCATTTGGAACCACATGAGCTCATGTCACTCCTTTGTCTAAAACCCTTCAGAGCTGCTCCCCCTTTCCTTGGTATAAACAGCCATCTCCTGACTGTGGTCCTGAGGCCTGCCTAATTTTACACCACCCTCCTTCCCCCTGGTCTCCTACCTCCCCATTTCAGTTCCTCATCATGCTGCACTCCCTGCCCACATTTGGGTCCCTCTTCCTAGAGGCTTCTCTGCCGGGCCCCTTTTCTGTAACCCTAATCAAACTTGTTTCACAACTAACCTCACGTGAAGCCTGTCAACACTCAAGGATTGGCAAGCCAGCCCCTGGGCCCCACATGTGGGTTCTGCTTTATATGGCCTATGATTGATGAAATTTAGACCCTGCTATTCTAGAAAAAGGAGTTGCCAAATATCTTTACTGGCAACAGTCCTCCCCTGCTAATCCATTCATCACTTTGTGCCTCAGTTTCCCCATCTTTAAATTGGGGAGGCACATTTGCTTTGATCCCAGATGATCTGAGATGGAACAGGTATTCTAGAATTCTCAAAGTCCAGATCTAGAAGAGACCTCAGTAGCCTAGTGGTTTTCAGAGGCTGCTGGCGGGCAGGGAGGTAGAGGAAGCCAGGTGGGTGGGAGGGTGCACTGCATCCCCTCTCCCCTCCATCAACCACAGCAGTTCAAATTTTATCTGTTCTACACTTGGGCTTTAGCATGAAACTTCCTTTGAACAAATTGTTTGGTGGCTAAAAAAACCCCTCTGAGGAATCCGATCCCCTAATTTTAGAGATGAGGAATGAGACCCACACAGGGGAGGGAGCAAGTCACTGGCCGCACTTAATGGAAGAGGGGACCAAACCAAAGGCTTCAGACTTCCATACCTTCCTATCGCACTGCCTCCTCTGGGGAAAGCATGGAGTGCCTGCTGGTGTTTAGGAGGAAGAACTGCTCCCTACTTCTCACCTGTCCGTGGGAGTTTCTGGGACCCTCTTAGAATAAGCCAGGCCACATAATGCAAGGTACCTGTGGCTGTGGTTAAATTTCTGCACCAGCCTCCCGCCATCAGCAAGCCGTATTTGGATGTTCGTGGTAGGCTGCGACTCATCGACTGAGATGGAAGAGCTGGCTTTGGCCTCATTTTCTGCCTGTTGGGCTGGAGAGCTGGTATTCAACACCGGGGGTGCAGTGCTGAGGAGAGAGGATAGCGTCAGGACACAAACAGAAACAAGGCCCCACACAAGAGGGGAATCCTGTCTCATATTTTTACTGAGCATTTGTTACGTCTGGTGCTGTTTGTTGCTACTGATATAAGGAGTGTCCAAGACAGAATCCCTGTCCTGATGGAACTTAGAGGTCCAGCGGAATTCACCTCAACCCCCAAATTATTGCTAGCTCCCTCACTCCTGGAGTTGGGCAAGTTACCAACACCCTTCTTTCTTGGTGTCCACAACTGAACAAGGGCTTGAAGGGAGGAAAGCAGTAGGCACGACAGCCTGGGCCAGGAGAAACTGGGATCTGATGCTGGAGGATCCAACAGACCAGGGTAAGTTTTAGCCTCAGTGAGAGGCTGAGGGCAGAATGGGGAGGGGGCACTCCAAGTCTGCAGCTGAGGTAGGCATGACACAGCTTGGCAGGTGACTGCTGGAATGTAAGGGACAAGTCCAGGCTCTTTTCCTCTGATGGGAGTTTTCAGGCCTGCCTGCCCCAGTGCAACCTCACTCATGTGAGTATCTCATACTCATGTGTCAACTATCAGGAGGTGGTTGAGATTTCTGGAAAGCCAACTAAGTGCCCGGCACCGCAGGGATTAATTATACAATATGAACAGAACACAGTTCCTACTGCAGTGTTGAGGGCTCAGATCTTGGAATGAGACTGACCAGGGTATGAATTTACCCACTAGCTATGGTAGTGTTGGGCTAGTTATCTAAGCTCCCTGAGTTTCAACAAGGGTAGTAACAAGGTTCTTTAACAAGGACTCTTGTGAGGATTAAAGGCGTGCTACACTCAGGGTGGCTGACAAACACAAAATGCACACGAATTCCCAATTCTCCATAACCGTTGGAGGCTTCATCTCTCTCCTGTATACCATCTATGTATCTCATTCTCAGCCTTTCTCTTAGCAGATATCTTGGCCTAGACCTATGCAGAGAACAGAGGCCATTGGATGAGAACTCCCTTGCTTCCGCCCAAAGCCTCTAGTTACATTAATCCATACACCTCACCGTTCCCTCTGATCCTTACAACCTAAAAAGGGTATTCTTAGGAAATCCAACTGAAAGTGCTTTCCTAAGTGTGTTCCCTGGGACCCTAGTCCCTTGAGTTATCTCCAGGAAGGTTTTGGAAATGCCACATATTATACCAACAGCATCACAGGCCACTAACATATTAAAGAAGGCCTTGAGAGATCGTGGGGTTAAGGCAAACTTATTTGATCACCATGTCCTTTCTTTCATGTTACGCTTGTTAACCTCCTGCAGATTGTTTCATGGAACACAGTGAAATGTTGCCCCAGGGCAAATAATTAGCAAGGAAGAACTGAAAACTGAACTTACGCTTTTCTGTAAACATGAAAAATAGTGGCTTAGAGAATTACAAAGTGGAGCTCAGAAGAGAAACCTGGCCACACTTATTGGCTATGAGAGGAGCTTCTATGGATCAGCCTCACAGCACGTGGGACTCAAATGTGAGCTGAGACACAGATAAATTACACCATCGCGGGCCTGAGGAGATGCTTGGAAACAGTGGAAAGTTAAATGTTGAACCTGTAAATGCCTAAGATCTACTCTGTTCTGTTCATTAGTTTTAAGGGCCTTAGGTCAACTCTCTAATTAGACTCTAGGCAGCCTGTCCCTCAACTGTTTATAACAATTCCAAGTACATGATGGGTACTCACTGATGCTACTGCCTGCCAGAAAGGCCTGAATGAGAGAGAAGCTGAATTACCTGACTGCTCATTTCCTTTGTAGTGGGAATAAATTGGGCACTAAGGTGCTTTGTTGCCACAATGCTACCTCCTGAGACCCTGCCACCTGCTTTACAAAGATGACCACTACAGAAAGCATGGTGAGGGGACAAAGCTCATCCTGGCAGCAGTGTCACCCTTCACCCCCATCCCAAGTGCACTCTTGGTGTTTGGTACTCAAAATCAAGTAAATGCAGGCTTCCCAAATCTTGAGATTAGTTCCCATCCAAACAAACAAATGCAAAGCCTAAAATAAAGTTTCATGCAACTGAACGAACTTTTTCAAATTTCTGAACTGAGAAAAATCTATTCATTCACTTTATTTTTCTAGGTAATTGGAGAAAAAACAAGCATTGACTGATTTTTGAGGCAAACCTGAGAAAAATTTCTTAAACTTTTGGCTTCCTGATCATTTTAGTTAACAAGAAGACAATGGAAAGCATAGTAAAATTTATTGGAAAAATTAAAAGGGCTGTCCATCTAGTTTAGACTGAAAAGCTAACGTTCCATCTCCCTTAGCTGTATAAAACATTTTTTAGCTCATTTTTCATTAAAAGCTAGAACTGAAATAAAATCAAAGTGGTACTGGCAATGAACATTTATTTAGCTGACAAGCATCACATCTGATTATCAAGCTCTGTCTCGACTTGTTGATTCATCACCTGCACTAAGTATTCCCATCCTGCTAAAACAGACTCCTTAAAAACATCTTAATTTTTTGAGATGTGGAGTCTTCATACATAATAGAGTTAGACTTTCCAATAGTAGAAGCATTTTCTGTTAGTATCATGAAACCAGACAAACCCAAACTGCACAGTGCTCTGGACCCTTCCTTAAAACTACTGGTGGGTGAAAGACGGATACAACCTTTTTGAAGGGCAATTTGACAACATCTTAAAAATATGAAGATCGTTTGAGCTAGCAATTTTACTTCTAGTACAACATTAAGGGGTATATAAAGATTTAATTAGAGATATTCATCGTAATGTTGTTCATAATACTGGCAGCCACCTAAATGTTTAACATCAGGGACTGGTTAAATTATGGCACATACATAAGATAGAAACGTATGTTAGCATTAAAAATAATATTGTAGGGCTTCCCTGGTGGCGCAGTGGTTGAGAGTCCGCCTGCTGATGCAGGGGACACGGGTTTGTGCCCCGGTCCAGGAAGATCCCACATGCCGCGGAGCGGCTGGGCCCGTGAGCCATGGCCGCTGAGCCTGCGCGTCCAGAGCCTGTGCTCCGCAACGGGAGAGGCCACAACAGTGAGAAGCCCGCGTACCGCCAAAAAAAAAAATGTAGAAATACACCTACTGATCTGGAATGACAGCCATACTACACTGATTAGGCAAAATAACAGGTGATAGAACATTTATTTTTATACACACACACACACACACACACACACACCCATACATATATACAGACTGGAAGGATACTTCCCAGATACTAACTGGACATATCTGGTGTTAGGTTTAGGGACAGTTTTTATTCTTTATCTGTATTTTCTATTTTTTTTTAAAGATAAACACATTTTAGTTTAATAATATACGGAAAAAAATTATCTGGTGCTCTACAAAGCTTACCATAGCTGACAGGTAAGTCACAGATGGATCAGAGAACAGCTGTCCTGGACTAACCCACAGGCCCCGAAGTGGTAGATGAAATGATGAGCAGGGTGGACTTAACTATTTTGGTCCTGGTAAACCACAATCTATTGGTCTCTAATGTCCTGAGCTATGACCCTTGCTCCTGATGAGGCATGAATGGCCAGCAGGGAGGCAGGGGATTCTAGGAGAGGGCCAGCCAGAAGCTCAAAGAGCACAGCTGTTGGCAGACCACACTCTGATTCCTGCAGATGGTGGTGAGGTGAGCAAGGGCAGTGCCTAGTTCAAGAGCTGCCAGAGCTAGGTCAGAAACGGTGTCTTGCTGTGTAGGAGTGTGGGGAGAAATGCCAATCAGAAGGCCTGATTCCAGTCCCGGCTCTACCATAGGGAGCACCTAAGGGTATCCCTTAAAGCCCAAGAGCCTCAGCTTTCCCTTTGTAAAATAAGGATGGTACTGGCGGGGAGGGTCACCATGCTGAGTGCCTCTCGTGTGCAAATCTCTCTCTGAAGGATACTGACGAAGTGACCCCATGCATGGCCAAAGCTGAGTGGGTCCCTGAGAGAAGGCTGCCTGTCTGTGGGATGGTCAAGGATCTGGCGTGAGAACCCTGCCTATCAGAGGTAATAGGGACTATCAACCAGTCAGATCCTATTAGGGGTTTGAATGCAAGATGGAGATAGTGGCAGAGGACACGTGGCAAAAATTTCACAGGAAATGACAAACTGAGTCTCAGGCAGGACCAAAGAAATAGAGATAAGAGCTGCCATAACAGTGGAGCAGCAGGCTGCAAAGGGGCAACAATGTCTCTGAGCTTCCCTGGATCCTAAACGATGCCGCTGCAGGCTGGCCGGCAAGAGTCCAGGATTCCTTTCTCCTCTGAATCTCCATTTCAAGTGACCTGAATACACGTGTCTGTTTCAGCCTTGAAGCCATGCAGACGGTTATCCCTGCCCGGGACACCCTAGATTACCGAGTCAAAGCAGCAATGTGTTACCTTTACTGATCACACTGACTGCTCACTGTGGGGCAGTGCTCTACGTGCTCCTCCCAGCAGTAATCGAGGAGGTAAGGATTCTTATTAGTCCCACTTTATAGTTGAGCAAATTGAGCCTGGATAGTCCAAGGTCAAATGGCTAGAAAGTGAAGAATAGATTTAAACTTAGGTTTGTTAATGCCAAAGCCTATGTTCCCCATACTCTTCCTCCCATAAAAATAAAATCTGAAGTACTCTGTAATAAACAGTAAAGAGCTATACAAAGTGAGCCTTACACAGGGCCTGTCGGGCCCGACAGGAGTGACCCACACAGTCCCACTCCCACCTGTGCTGCTCCTTACCTGCCCAGTTTCTGACCCTCACCAGTGAAGGCTCTAAAGGCTCCCTTGGGCTTCACAAAGTCCTCGTCCCGATGGTCCTCCATGTCCAAGTTCACCTGCCCACCATGCGCTAACCTCCGCAGCTCTGCTGGCACCTCTCTGTGGGAGAAAAGGCAGTTCTGGGGCCCACAAAGAGCAGGATGGGAATGACAGTGATGCTACAAAGGGAGGAGAAACTTCTCAGTTCCAACTGTGAAGTTGGGCTTCACAGGGAGTTGACTGCTCCAGTCGCTACCTGTCCGCCTCCCCCTTCTCTCATGCCTGCTCAGAGTCAAGAGTGGAGACCTGTATCTTATTTGGTGACTTGGCTCTGTCCTAGACCCAAAGGGGAAATGCAGATACACAGAGTTTTGGGAGCAGATCTGTGAATCTGTAACTCAACTGTGCTAAATCTGCTTAAAAATGTAAACTTCTTAAATAATAAATATTTGAATCAGCTTCTTCTTTCCCATCTGCCATCTCACTCACTGATATGGAATCCGAAGGAGGGCTTTTCTGCTCACCCTCTGCGGATAGACTCCAGAAACTGGGCATTGGATGGGTCTTGGTAGCTTCTGAGTTCACCATTATCCAGGCTGAATCCACTCTTCCAGAGCTTCAACACTACATGAACCTGTGACAACAGGAGGTAAGCAGTCTATACATTGTCAGGAACCTGGCAAGCACACAAGCATGAACTTGCAAATTAACGAGTTTTTACTATTTTACTGTGTCATTATTAAAACACCCAGACAGACAAAACATATACTCATGCACAAGGAGATCAATCAACAACCAATGAAATAAGTATTAACCTAAAATAAGAAGGTGATATGGTACAACTTAAGAGAATGGGGCTTTGATTTAAGCAGACCTGGGTCTGCATCTTGATTTTGCCACTCACTAGCTAAGCGGCACTGAGCAGATGACTCAACTGAAGCTGTGGCTTCCTTATCTATAGGGTTGCCAGTGTGCTTGGCACAAAGCTTGTGCTCAACTAAAGTAGCATGGCAAATCTTCCGTGGACTATTTTGCAGCCATTAAAAATGATATCTACAATTTCTGTTAACGACTCCCTATATATATATATACACAGAAAAGGGTCTAGAGGACTAAAGACCAGCATATTAGCAGCTGCTACCTCAGGTGGATAGGATTTTTATTTCCTCCTTGCTTGACTACTTTACTTTGGAAAAAAACCCAAAATAATTAAAAACAAATACATTATGGAGACTAATGGTCACAAGGTCATATGAAAATATTTATGGCACTGAAAAAGTATATATATATATTTATAGCTGAGTCACTTTGCTGTACAAAAGAAATTAATACAACATTGTAAATCAACTATACTTCAACAAAATTAAAAAAAAACGTTTACGATATAAACCTCAAAACTGACTCTACAGTATGATTATACTTATTGGATAGGGGGGATCCCTATGTGCAGGGAAAAAAGGACTGGAATATAATACGGAAAAAGTTCAAAAAGTACGTTTCAGGCCTCCTTGGGGGGGATGTCTAAAGACCAAGTTCTTTAGGCACATTCACACCACCAGAGAACCCTGGAATCACTATCCCTCTGCCTGAGATCCATGGAATGCTCAGAAAACTCCATTATTTGTCCATCCGCTCTGCCTGTCCCCACTCATGAGCCACCCCCCTCCCCCCACACCCAGCCAGATGAGAGCTGTCTTTGATTCTCAGGTAAGCTTTTCCATTTCCATTCATGGAATACAGCAAACCTGCTGCCTCTTCCCTTTCGGAGGCTGCTGATTCACGTGTAACATGGGACTAATTTCTCCCCCAAAATGATAAAACAGTCCACGAGCTTCCCTAGAGAAGGTAGGTGCACACTCACATCTTGGCCGGAATGCCGCCTCCTTTCTCCAGCCACGTAGGCAGACTCTTCCTCTGGTGCTGCTCCAAGGCGGTAGCCACCTCCTGCAAATGGCTATAAAAGACAAGTTCATAAACACCGGAGAAGTGGGTCAACAGTTATCAGGTTATCCAGATATAATGATGTTATCTCAAGCTTGTTAACTACTAGGTACACTTTCTCTGAGTAGGAAACTCAGAGACTGGGGTAAAAACTGGAATGGTGGTGGGGGGGTATTGCCTGGTTAAAGGGAATGGCTGCTACTAAGCTCTAGTTAATCATGACCATTTCAGAATCTAGGTGTAGGATAACACTAAAGACTTTTTGATTTTCACAAAGAAAACAGAAATCCTGACTGTATGTAAAACAGGTGGCCACCGATTCAATTAAAACAAAAATAAAGCAAGACACGGAGTAAGTCAGGTTGGTTAGGCCAAACAAAACATGTTTGCAGAACCTGATCCAGACCATAGGCCATAGGTTTGAAAACTTTGCCCCAAATCTTGATTTCATGTTAAAAGGTAAGAGAAACTGCACTGCTCTTCTGCATATTAGAGGGAGTGAGCAAATGAAAAACAAAACAAAAACAAATTCAGTCACTACTGGGGTGAGGAAGGCCTCCTTTCCTCTGCTCTGGAACCTCAGTCCTGTGGACACAGACAACGACACCGACCCCTTATGCTCACTCTTGGTTTACTGGTCTCTCCAGGGCTCTTGGTCCCTCGCTCCACAGCTACGGCTCCATGTTCTTTGGCACCTTTAAAGAGATCGTCCACCAGTTCGTTGGGACTTTTCTTCCTGGGAGGGCCAACAATCTGCTGTCCACTTCTCTCTGAGCCCCCGGCATAAAACCTGTGCAGAAAATACACATCTAACACCAAATATACTTAGAAAACAAGAACAGAGCATGTGCCAGGCTCTGGGCTAGGAGCTGGGCACAATGAGGCAAAGGGTACAAATGCCCATCTTTAAGGAACTTACTGTCTAGGTGGGGACAGATTTAAGAGGCAGACAGCCATACTGCAGTGTGAGCCACAGGAGAAGTCAGTAAGGGGTGCTCTAGGAACACAGAGCTGGGGAGTGGGGAGTACAGTCAAGGGTTCCTAGAAGGGTGTCTTCTGGGCTAAATCTTGAGGGTGAGTTTATCAGGTAAAGGACAAGGGAAGGGTATTCCAGGCATGCACAACAGCACGTTAGCTCTGGGAATTCACCATCCGGCGGCCAGCACCTTTCCAGCAGACGATCACTATGGTCAGTTAGAAGCAGCTACCACTAGCAGCCCTGGATTAATGGTGGCAGTGGTGTGGTTAGTACAAGCAGCTAGGTTCCACTGTTGGCTCTGCCACTGAGTGAACTAGGCAAGCCAATGCACTGAGCTAACCTCACTTTCCTTCTTTGAAATGGAAGGGAAGGATCACATGCCCTACCTACCTGTTCCTTAAGTCAGGGCCATCAGGTTCAAATCAGCGGAAGTATGCAAAAGAACAAGCACAGAGTAATGCACACATGTAAGGTGTGATACAGCACCGAGAGCTCCCAAGCATCACCTAACCTTGCAATTCTTGTGACATACACCGGGCAGATGCAGAAGAGTGGGTACTGGAGGAGGTCAGGGAAGCTCAAATACAAGCCCCAAGATACCCATACCTGCTTTGCAATAGGCCAAGCATGGCTTGAGATGAAGTTAGCGCTTTTTTTTTAGCTGCATCTGAAAACCTTCAGTCATGTAGCCTTGGCTAGCTGCCTCCTTATCACTCCTATTCACAGCTAAGTCAATAGCACATCTCAGTGAGGAGAACTGAGAACCTATAAAACTGAGCCTCAGCCTTCCATTTCCTGACATTCCCCAGAGAATGCAAGGCAAAACCCTAGGCCTTGGCATGGACAACAGTACCAGTGTCATTAGGTCTGAAATGCTGAGGGACCAGAGATGTAACCGGGATGTGAAGTAAAAGAAGGTCACCGCCTGGAGGATGTGACAGGACAGGAGAAGTAGGAGGAGGTCATTTAGGAGTTGGGCATTCACTTACTTGATGACACTGCCTTTCATTCAAGGAGTATTAAAACACTGAAATTAACATTTATTCCTGAACTTTGAGTGTATCTAAATAGAAGGCTCTGAGGTAGTGTAAAGGTCACTACGTGGATGAAGACAGAGAACAGAACACACATAATTTCTCAGCCCGCTTCCCAAAGAGTGACCACGATGAGATAACTGCATTTCCATAATGGTTATTATACAATGTTCCTTAGGAATGTTTGACAGACCAAGACAGATTCCATGGACAACCAAAACCCATGAAGTGAGGCTGCAGCCAGTTCATCCTTGTTCATTCCAGGTAGACAAAGTTCTGTTCAGTGGACTGTAAGATCCTTATTAAGGGATCTCAAAGCCCTGGCTTACAAACTAGGAATCTGTGATCAAATGTCTTAAAAATATTCATGCCCTTAACCCGGTATTTTCATTTCTATAAACTATCCAAAATAATCTGAAATGTAGTCAAAGATTAATACACAGAGATGTTCACAGCATTGATATTTAAGGTGGCAAAAAACTGGAAATGATTTAAATGTCAAGCATTCCATATGATGCACCATTATAGTCACTGAAAACACTTATGAAGAATCTTAATGACCTGGAGAAGTATTCAAGATGTAGCATTAATCCTACAAAAGCAAGAAACAAACATCTGGCTTTCACCATGTAAAATACAATATAAACAAACTATATTTACACACAGAACCAACACTTAGTGGAAATATGCCAAAATATTAACCGTAGTTACCACAGGGTGGATAAGTGTTATATTTTTTTTCATTACGCTATTCTACATTTTCCACAACGGACACTAATTTTATTATAACATTCCTAAAGGTTAAAAACAAACCAACAAAAAACACTACTGTGTCTGTACATTGGAGGAATATACATTTGTAAGCCCTTTTTTTCTCTTTATTATGTAATATATTGCTTTTTCAATTAAGGAAAAGCTGGAAGGAAATACACCAAAAATATTATTGATACGTGGTTACCTCTGGGTTGTATTACGAATGGCTTTTTTCCTTATAGATTTATTTCCCTTCCCCTAATATTCTTCAATAAATACATATTATCTTAATAATTAAAAATGAAACAGAACAAAAACAAATCCAGAATACCCCAAAAGAAAATAAAATAGTAAGAGGACAGGGATCACTTCTAAGCACAGGGAGTGGAAAACCGTTTCTAGTATGCATATGACTAGCCCACAGTAGTAATGGCTAATGATAACCGAGCATGTTTATCCTTCTAGGCTGTTCTAGGTGATTTGTACATTACCATGGACTTTCCTGTGGACTGTGCCCCCAATAAAGACTCACCTCTGACCCTCCTCATCCTCCTCGTCCTCGTCTTGGTCATGAATAAGGTCTCTGAAGGATGTCACCCTATTATCGCTGGAGACACAGAAAGGAGCAAAATGGTCTCAAGGGGAGTTAGAGAAAGGTGATCCGCAACATCAGCTGCTAACAGTTGAGGACACTGAGGTTAGGGTTTTTGGTGGGGCAGGAAGAGGATCTATGGGAGGAGGGCTAACCTCTCAAGTTTATAATGCAAAACAATGATATTTATTCAAGGTCACACAGGACTAAGAATAAATTAGAAAGTGTATCAAGAAGTAAAATGAAATCCAATTTAAGCTCTCCTAGAGGGGGAGGAGGGAACCGGATAGGGTCTGTACTACTTTAAAAACGTACTACTGGATAGCGATTTTCATCATATAATTTTTAAATATTGGGGGAATGCCTGTGTGCCAGGCACTGAACTGGATGCTAGGTCTATAAAATGATCAGGCACAGTTCTTACCCTTTAGTTGCTTACAGGCTAGTGGCTCTTTGGCCAGGAAACCATCCATTAAATACTGTGCAACAGGGGCTGTGACAGAGGGAAGCACATGGGATGTGAGAACAGTCTCCTGTTCTAGGTGGGGGTTGGGGAACACCAAGAAAAGCGTCCCAGAAAAATGCAACATTTGGACCGAGTGCTGACAAACTAGTAGGGGACCATCAGTCAATTGGATAAAGGATGGTGGGGCTGGTGGGGAAAGGGGACCAACAGGGCATTACAGGAAAGCAGCACAGGCACATACACAGAGACTAGTGAAAGTAACACATTAGAGGAAGGATAAATCATCAAGAAGTAAAAATGAAATGAATATATGAGTGAAAAGGCCTCTGTCTGCTTCTGCTGTAGGTCAGTCAAGTATTTATTAGTGTTTAGGAAAAAAGCAGGGTTGTGTGGGGTGCGGTAGACAGGGCACACTAAACATGGTATGACAAGGGTTAACTCCCTCCTCTGACACTGTCTTACACTGCCACTTTTTTCCTAGTTTAGGTTTGTCCTTAAGGAATAATCTTAGTTTTTCAAGTATCATGAGACACACCATTTTCTGTATTCTTTAGGGGAAAAAAAGTTGTTTCTCTTTAATATGGGGGGAGAGGGTAATGGAGATTTAGTGAGGCTAGAGAAGGAGTTGTTTACTCCAGCTCAGCCTTGAAGAAAGATTTATTTCAGGGAGACAATCAGAGGACAGAATAGGCTCTGAGGCTCCACCAACTAGAAAAAAGAGGACAAAGATCAACCGATGTAGCAAATACATTCCTGCGTAAGTGAGCTGAGAGCAACCTCCTGGGCATTCCTTCATGCTCTACACAACACGGTTCAAAAGGATGCAAGTGATAAGATCCATACCAGTGCCCTAAAAGGCTAATTCCACTCATTACTCTTCCCAGGGGAGTTTTCCACAGATGCTTAGCTTAGCATCTATGGAAAAAAAAATCCTCTGTCTCTCTGTCGTTAAACACCTTCAAATACACATGTGTATACCTGCTTGAGCAAACCACTTGCTCTGGCTATAGGTCTGACTCTTTCCCCAGAAGTTCTTACACCTAGACTCTGACAGTATCTAACACAGACTCTGGTGTCCATTTACTTGGTTCCAATGCCAACTTAGCCTCCAACCCTGGGATCTTGGGCATGCTAATGAAATTCTCTAAGCCTTCATTTTCTCATGTGAAAATGGAGACAGTCAGCACCAACCTCGTGGGCGTGCTGTGAACAGTCGGGGTGCTGACGCACGGTGTAGCACATTTCAAGTACTACTCTGGAGCAGCAGTTCTCAAAGTGTTGGTCCTTGGACCAGGAGCATCAGTATTACCCTCAAAATTGTGAAAGATGCAAATCCTCAGCCCCTACCCTAGACCTCCTCAATCAGAAACCCTGAAAGGAGTGTCTACCAATCTGGTTTTAAGGAGTCCTCCAAGTAATTCTGATGCATGCTAAAGTCTGAGAACAACTGCTCTGGAGTAATGCTCTGAGAGTTACCTTAACAGTATGGATGTCCTGGGGGCATTACCAATTTCAGAATACTCTGTCTTGTATCTTCCACAAATTGGCAAAATGTCTCAGAAATTTCAATTTTTCAGCATCAGAACTCTATCTCCCAGGCACCCTGAAGTGGCACAAAAGTGCTTTGTCAGATCACATTTTCTGCAGTGACAGGAATGCTGTACCTGCACTGTCCAATAACGAAGCCACTAGTCACATGTGGCTATGGAGCATTTAAAATTTGGTTAAGTGCAAATGAATAACTGAATGTTTTATTTTAATTAGTTTAAATAGCCACATGAGGCTAGCGGCCACCATATTGGACAGTATAGTTTTAGAGAATCAGACAACGGTGGTCCCTAGAATTCTAAGAAAGTACAGTTTGGTTGAATGAAAGAAGAAAAAACAGGAAGAAAAAACAGCCTACCTCTTGCTCGACCCTGTGCTCGGTACAGGGGTGGGAGGTACTGCACAGAGAGGTAGCTAGCACATGGCAGAAGCAGCAGCTTTGGATTTAGACAAATTTGGGTTTGAATCCACTATAACAGCAAATGTGTTACTCAACCTTTCCTGAGACTCAGCATCCTGACCTGTGAAATGGTGAGCACCTGACCTACTTCCATGGTTATAGAGGTATAAGAAGAGAACATATGTAAGAATATGTGGCAGAGCCAGACAGATGGTGGGTGCTCCTGGAATACTAGCCCTCCCACCTCCAGGAACTTACAACTTACTTAGGGAAAAAAATATTAAGGTAATTACCAGGAGAAGAATTCAAGACAACACAGGAAAGATGTCATACAGTAGTATGTGGATATGGGTTGTGACTGGAGTTCATGCTGCCTATGGGTTGGGGGATAACATGCTCAGTAGAGAAGGTGGGGAGGGAGCTAAACCTGGAAGGACACAGAGGATCTGCACAGGTGGAAAGGAAGCAAGAGAGTGGGCATGTCCAGTCAGATGAGAGGCTCAAACAAAAGCAGAAGAACCAAAAACAAGGCAGAATTGAGACACCAAACAAATCAGTTTGGTTGAAATAAAGATTTAAGAAAGAAGGAAAAGGGGGATAAGATGAGGATGGCAGGTTCACAGCAAATTCTGGAGGACAGTGAAAGTCCACAGGGAGAGGCAGTACATCATTCTGGCTGAGAGCTGAATGCTGGAAGCAGAAACAGATCTACATTTAAATCCTTGTTTTGCTAGCTGTGTGATCTTGGGAAGATGCCCAGCTTCAGTGTCTTCATCTGTAAAATGGGAAGAATAACAGTACCCACCTCACAGGGTTGTAGTAAGGATTAAAAAGATGTATATATATCAGTAAAAGCTTAACCCAGTGCCTGGCAGCTGGTTAAGTGCTCAATAAATGACAGCTGTTATAATTGAGGAGTTTAGACTTTCTCCTATAGCTATGGTTAACCTTTTTATGTCCCACAGCCCTTTGAGAATCTGATAAAAGTTATGAATTTTCTTGCCAGAAAAGGTACTACATATATATAAGTTTTTACCTACAATTTCAGGTAATTTATGGACCTTCTGACATCCATTCCACAGATTCCTCCTAGGGGGTTCAGGGCCTCCACGTGAAGAACCCCTGTTCTAGAGTCAGAGGAGGAACTCACTAATTGAGTGCTGTGCCACAGAGGCAGTGATGACATGAAAGGGTATGTGAGAAGATGACAGTGGGGTCGGGGAGAGCTCAGCAGCAGGCTAAGTGTCCTGCAACAGTCAGGTCAAACAGGGGAAAGGCAGGCCCCACAAAGGATTCCTCTGAGGTGCTAGCACAAGCCTGCCTTTTCCTGAGAATGCAGTCAGCATTTACCACCTGGACAAGCACAACGATGTAACAAACAGTGCCTTCCCTCTCCCTTTTCCTTGGCTTCACCTAAGCCCAGTACCAAGTCTGAGGCTTAACCAAAGCAAAAAAGTAAGACCTTTAGGCCTGCATGTGTGCTCGGTCTTTTACTCCCCGCAGTCTTAATGTTAAACTCTATTCCCTTGAATTTTTTTACTTTTAAGAAACTTTTTAGAAACTTTTTAACATATAGACTTGCTGTGGAATGAGACAGGGAACAAATAAGAAAAGAATGGGGAAGATGAGAATGGATGCTAATAATGGTAATAATAAAATGACAATAATAGCAGTTAACACGTTCTGTGTTCTACGTGCTATGTAAGTGTTAACTCATTTAATCTCGCATGTGGTAGGCACTATCATCATTCCCATTTGACAGAGGACGAAAACTGAGGGACTGGAGATGTTAAGTAACCTGCCCAAGGTCACAAATCTCTAAAGTGGCACTGCTGGGATTTGAACGTGAGCAGTCAGGCTCCTAGCCCAGCTTCTAATAAACCATTGTCTTTTTTTTTTTTTTTAAGGTTTTTTTTGAGGTGGACCATTTTTTAAGTCTCTATTGAATCTGTTACAATATTGCTTCTGTTTTATGTTTTGGTTTTTTGGCTGCGAGGCATGTGGGATTTTAGCTCCCCAACCAGGGATTGCATCTGCACCCCCTGTATTGGACGGTGAAGCCTTAACCACTGGACCGCCAGGGAAGTCCCATAAACCACTGTCTTGACAGGACTTTGGGTCTACCAGAGAAGACAGGTATGAATATGTGACTGACATCAGAGGCTAAGTTTCAATTTCGTCTCCTCTGTATTTTTTTTTTCTTTCCTGCGGTACGCAGGCCTCTCACTGCCGTAGCCCCTCCTGCTGCGGAGCACAGGCTCCGGACGCGCAGGCCCAGCGGCCATGGCTCACGGGTCCAGCCGCTCCGCGGCACGTGGGATCCTCCCGGACCGGGGCACGAACCTGCGTACCCTGCATCGGCAGGCGGACTCCCAACCACTGCGCCACCAGGGAAGTCCCCTCCTCTGTATTTTTGTGCCAACACCCCAACAGTAATCTGGGGTACCTGTGAAAGACACACCCCAGGAAATCAGCTGTCTCTATCAGCAGCTACAAGTAAAGCCCTTACCTTATCAACCAGGTCCCAGGCAGTAACATCTTGATGTGCCATCACTGACACCTCACAGGTGGGCATCTATGAATAACTAAAAGATGTCCTGCCTATTACCTCTTTCCTCTGGAAATGCAGGTAGGGGAAGAAGTTAAGGAAGCAATGAGAACTGGGGTTAGTGTTCCTTCTAGAAAGGGAGGAAATGTAATTTAAATCTCAGATGCCCTTAGAGAGAAACACAATTTATCACTTCACCAGCAAAGAAACACTATATCTGTATTCTGGGGTTGAATTCAAACTCAAATAAACTGAGAACATACACCAGAGAGTAGAAACAAATCAGGCTACGGCAGAGAGGGGAGCTGTAGTTCAGACACTTTTAAAGGAAGAGGCCCTGCCTGTCTCCCAGAAGACCTGCATTATCCCACTCTGTAGATCACAGCAGTGATCGGCTGTGAGAAACTTGGAGCAAGGGTGGCCAGGACAGGGGATGCAAATGGGATAGCAAAGGTTAACACTGCTTCACAAAATAAGACAAGGTCTCCCTAATCAATTTGGGAAAGGATGGGTTAAACAGGTTTATTTTCTCTAAGTCTTCTTAATAGGGTAATGGGCATCCTAAAATATTGAGAGCCTTTTTAAAGTCACCTGGCCTAATCTTTTACATCTACAGCATCCCTGAAAGGAAGTACTTCGGTTTCTACTTAAAAACTTCCATAAATGGAGAGGCTACTCCTCATATTTCATAAATAAGAGACCCCCCTCCCCAAACATCTTAAAAGTTGGTTCTGTGGTTTCCTCCAGGATTGCATCATATACCACACACTCAGTTAAGAATCCCAAATCTCTACAAGAAAGGAATAAGTCTTGCAAGAAACTACTACCCACCAGTCAGTCTATCTTCCTCCCTCAAACCCACTGGTCCACATCCCCAGCCCTGAATCCTCTGTCCCATTGCTGGAAGCACACCAATGTAGCAATAACTGAAGTTGGCCCTTACCTGGGGGCTGTGCCTCTGGATACTGAACTGGGGGTTGCCTGCGAAATGGTCACAATGTCTTCGTCCCCTCCATCCTCATAAAAGCTTGCTAGGGCAATCTGAAACAGAGAGGTAGTAACTTGGGATCCTTAAACAGGCCTTCATCTAACACATCTCCTTTCATCTCCTTTGAACACAAAGAAGCAAAGACACAAAAATATGGCCCACACTTACAAGGCACTCTGCATTTGGGGGGGGGCCATAGAAAATAAGACCAAAAGGTAATGGCCCAAGTACTTGTTTTCATATTACCTGAAAAAAATTCCACCTACTAAGGGGAAAAGAAGGCAAGAAGGAAAGTTGGGATGGTGACACTCCTCCTTCTCATTTTCATTAGGAAATGTGACCTAGTAAAAGCAGTGTACATTTATTGAGCACTTATTTATGAGCCATGTTGTTCTGAGTACAACTCTACCTGTGTTAACTCATTTAATCCTTAAAGAACCCTATGTAGTTAGTGCTATTATCATCTCATTTTATAGCTGATAGAGAAGCACCGAGAAGTTAAGAAAGCTGTCTGAGGTTACACAGTTGGTAAGGAGTAGAGCCAGGCTCGATCCCAGTCAGTCTGCTCGGACCCTTACTCTCAGCATTTAGGTGATAGCCAGGAGTTGGGAACTGTGAGGTCAGTCCAGATTGCTACTTTTACTTTCTCTCTGATGCTGTTTCCTAATCTGTGCAATGGGGACACCCATCCCACCAACCCTGTAAAACGGATGAGGATCCATTAACATTTATGCAGTCATGTCTTAGCTCTATACATACAGAGGGAATAAGGGCCTCTTTTGGCCATTTGTAACTGGCTGTTTCTCGCATGGACTCAATGCACAGGTATTTACTTATCACTTACTTTGCACAAAGAAGTAAGAGAGCAATAAGGTCTACAGAGGTGAAAAAGACATGGCTCTTGTCCTCAAGGTCACCACCTTTTAGGAGGCAGTGAGCTGCTGTGGGACATAACCAGCCTGTTGGAAGCAGCGTGCCTTTACAGAACACGCTTTAGCAGGCCTGCCAGGAGGCAGTAAGCTGCCGTGGGACATAACCAGCCTGTTGGAAGCAGCGTGCCTTTACAGAACACGCTTTAGCAGGCCTGCCAGGAGGCAGTATGCTGCCGTGGGAATGCACTGAACTGGCATTGAGGGGTGTCTACATTCAAGTCCTGGGCAAGTCATGTCACATGCATGAGCCCGTTTCCCCACTAAGAGCATGAGGAGACTGGGGCTGATGACCTGCCACCTGTAACACTGTGAGCTTTCAGGTCTTTCAGGCAGAAGCTGCATTTTGTATCTCGGCCCAGCACAGGAGCTTTACACTCTGTGTCTGTACAGGTGTGATGCTTTATCTAACTCTTACACTTTCGGGAAGCATATAAATGGTGAAGTCGGCAGACACAGTTCAAATCCTAACCCCTGGGTGTGTGACCTTGGGCCTATCACTTGACCTCTGAGCTTCCAATTCATCTATACAACTGAGGAAGTTTTCTGTACCTCATAGTGTGGCTAGGATTAGCTGAGCCATCATATGTCAAGTGCCAGGGCACATGGTGGTTAAGAGCTTGGGCTCTGGTGTCAGGCAGAACTGAGTTCAAATGCCATCTCTTCCACTTGGCAGCTAGTGGGGCCTTGTGCAAGTTACTTAACCTCCCTGAACCTCAGCTTCAAAACGCACAGGTTAAACGACTTACGACACCTAAAGCAGTTAGAACAGCACTCGGCTCATGGCAGGCACTCAATAAATATTCAGCGTCATCGTCTACCTAAGACACAGGCTGGCGAACAACACGTACGCAATTCTTCCTACCATTAATTACTGAGTGCCTATTACATGTCAGGCGTTTTTCCAGGCACAGGGGATTCAACAGTTTACAAAAATCCCTGCCTCGTGTAGCCTACCTTACTGTCTTCTTAACTAATAAATATTTAACGTATACTTAATACATGCTGGTGAACTAGACGATAAGCTCCACGAAGACTCCCATTTTACAGAAGAGTTACTTATTACAGATGAATAGGCTCCACTACCCAGTTTCTCCCAGCAATTACGTAGGAGGGGGTGTGGGCCAAGTCCTAGGCTGGGCTTCTCCCCTGTCCTGAGGCCGGGGCTGCGGAAATGGAAATGAACGAGCACCTAGTCCCCAGCGCCGCTCCACCGGGGAGTTGGTCAGTCGGGCCGGGCCTGCAGCCTTAGACTCGGCGCGGCAGCCACGCCCCCAGGCTCTCCCTCTTCACGCGGGCTGCGGCAGTGCCCAAAATCTCGCTGACCCGAGAGCCAGGCAGAAGGGGAAACTGAGGCCGGGTAGAGCAGGTAGGGGCCGGAGCTAGCCCGCGTTTCCCCACGCCCAGGCCAAGCTGGCGACGCGTGGCAAGCGGCCCTAGGACCCTGAGGCCTGGGTCGGGCCGCGGCCCGGCGGGATGACTGTGCGCTTCGGCCACCGCGGGCTTGTCGCGCCAGGCGCCCGCGCCCCGCAGTCCCCAGTCCGCCCTACGCGGCCCGCCTCGCGGCGCTACCTGCAGGTCCCAGCCGGCCGACTCCAGGAAGAAGCGGGCCCGGTCCTCCTCGGCGCCCGTCACCGCCACGAACTCCCTCAGCGAGTCCTGTCGCTCCGCCGCCATCTTAGCTCCGTGCGCCGCCCAAACCGCCCCGGGCGCCGCCGCACAGCCTCAGCCCCGCCGGCGCGTTCCGCCCACCGGTCAGCCCTGTCCAGCTGAGCGGCGACCGCCCGCAGGCCCCGCCCCATGCGGTGCCTCACGCAAAACCTTCCGTGCGAGAACTCCGCCGCTCCGCGTCCTCTGGCGGCCGTAGCGTGGACCCTCAACCTAACAGCGGGGGTGGGAGCGCGGGGAGGATGAGAGGAGGGGCGGGTCTTCCGCTGTGTACCTGTGGGATGAAAGATCCCGGGAGGAGTCAGTTTCACAATTATTCATTGAGTCGCTTCCTCATTTCATTAATTTATTCATTCGTTCGTTCACTTACTTGTTCAAATATTTACTGAATGGAATCAAGGGCCTGTTGCTCTTCCACGGCTGGGGATCAGCAGCGAGCAAAACAAAGTCCCTGCCTTCTTGTTGTTCACATTAGAGAGCCTTGAACAAGTCACTCTTGTCTCCCAACACTTCCGTGGCTCCCCATCTCAATCTGCTTAAAAAATGTCTCAGGGCCTGCAAGACCCCTGCGAGATGTGCCAGCTCTCCGTCTCATCTCCTAGGCTTCTCAGTATTTCCTCTGCTCCAGGCACACTTCCTTTCTTGCTGTTCCTTGAAGGTGCCAGATGCGTATTTGCATCAGAGCCTTTGTGCTCCCTTTGCCTGGAACACCTTTCACTCTCTGGTGGGCAAGGTGCTCCCTCACTTTCTTCAGGTCTCTCAGACACAATCCCGTCTTAGAGGTCCTCAGCTTCTTTGCCCTCTTGCCTCTCACCACCCTGCCTGAAATGCTCTTCTCTTCTTCTTCCCCTGGTCTGCTCTTGCTTATGCTTCTGGTCTCAGTTTAGGTGTCCCCTCCTCAAGGAGGCCTTTCTACATACCCAGGCTCTGTCAGACGGTCCCCAGTGTATGCCCTCTGGTGCCATGTTAAATGTCTGCCTTCCCCAAGGGCCACGATCCCTGTGAACAGCAGGGTTTCTGGCTGTTTCCAGCACAATATGGCTTAAGAGCACATGCTCTGGACTCAGCCTGGGGTTGAAGCCCAGCTGTTACTGCTTGTGTGATCTTGGGCAGATTATCTCTCTATTATTCAATTTCCTGATGTGTAAAGTGGAGCTCCTCGGAGTTCCTACTTCAGAGGGATGTGTGAGGATTCAATGTGAACTGCTGAGAGCAATGTTTGATACTTAGTGGGGCCCCAGCAAACGTTAGCTGTCATTTTATCTCCCGTGACCTGCAGTCACTGACATTAAACAATCACTTACTGACTCTTTGCTGAATTAATAAAGGAGTGAAAAAATGAAACCTTGTGTGTTTGCATATCCAGGTGAGAAATGCAGGGATCAAAATCTGAGGACAAGGATGCTGGGCAGGTTCCTGGACCCCCAAGGAGTATTGAGCTGACTGTGGGATATGACCTAATTTCAATAAATAAAAATTTTCATTTTCCATAAAACAGATGCCTTTGTGGCTAGGAAAAATGAGAGACCCACAAACATACAGTCTTGAAGTGACGTGGCTACAGAGTCGCTGCCTTTAGTGTTCACTATTGTTGTGGGCTGGGCTCTTGCTGGACAAGCTGGGTGACGAGAGCAGGCCTCTTGCCCTCTCTGGGCCTCTGGGCCTCTGGGCCTCAGGGCCTACATTATACAAGGTAGGAGGTTAGAGGTGGGCCAGCCCAGTGTTCACAGCCTTCTCAGACCCATTTTCATAACAAACATTTTGTATCACCCCTTTACTGCCTTAAATGGAATCCAGAGATAATAAAACTGACCTACATGCACTGAGAAAACCAATATCGTGCCCTAACTGGAGAAAAGAAAGGATAGTAATTGGGATAAAATGATCTGTATTTCAATCCTCAGGTATAAGAACAGTACAAAGCAAAATGAAGCCGTTACATGCTGGCCTCTACGTACAGGGCTGTATTATGGTTGATTAAAAATGTTGTTAGTGTGCCGCTGTGGGTGATGTAATTTTTCAAAATGGTTTAAAAAGAAGCCTCAGTAAGATTATGAACAACACAAAGTTCAGTCTTCCCTTGATGGACACAGCAGTTGCATTCCTAGGAAATTTGGTATATATCAAAACCGTGCAAAAAAATACTTTTAAGTTTATATGTTAAATGAATTAGGGTCTAGGTTCACTTTATTAACAGCAGGTTTTCAGCTGCACTAGGTCCTGGCGGGATGTGTGGGAGGAATGACCGTTTTTTGTGATGCAACTATCCCCTTCCCATTGCAGGGCACCCAGCACCAGCCCTGGTTCCCAGTCCCTCCCCCTTCATTGCTGTGTCCACCCCAGATGCCCTCCAACTTCCCAGAAAGTCCAAGAGCCTGGGGGCTCACTCTACACTATGCTCATGCTCAGCTGCAAGCCAGGTCTTTCCACCCTGGAAACTGACTGATGACTTGCCCCAGCTTAAAGGTCTGAAGGTGATCCGCTCCCCATGATCCAGCTCCTCAACTAGTATTTGAGTCCCTGATTCCAGCTGTCACCCCTCTTCACTTTTGTGCCCCTGGGAAAACACTTTCTTATGCCAGGGCATCCCTGGCCCCTCCTCCAGAGGCCTCTGGGTATCCTTCCCCTGTAACACTACCTGATAGCTAATGTTTATTGAACACTTACTATGTCCCAGACACTCTTTTTTTTTTTTTTTTTTTGCGGTACGCGGGCCTCTCACTGTTGTGGCCTCTCCCGTTGCGGAGCACAGGCTCCGGACGCGCAGGCTCAGCGGCCATGGCTCACGGGCCCAGCCGCTCCGCGACATGTGGGAATCTTCCCAGACCGGGGCACGAACCCGTGTCCCCTGCACCGGCAGGCGGACTCTCAACCACTGCGCCACCAGGGAAGCCCCCAGACACTCTTAAAAGAAACTTAAATACACTAACTTACTCATCCTCATGACAACTCTATGAAGTGAGTTCTATTATCATTTCCATTTTATAAATGGGGAACCCTAGATTCCTAAATGAGTTTGAATCCAGGCATCTCAGATATGAGCCTTGTGTTCCCAACCACTACACCACCCCTGTCTCTCTTTGACCTATAGGACTGTGCTTCCATGGCTGGTTTCTGGACGCAGCTCCAGATGATCTGACTGGAGGTATTTAGGGCCACAATTTGATTAGAAGGGAATGTGAGGGTGTGAAGTTGAAACTACATTTTCATAACATTTATCTAAATATCCTTAACAAAACTGGGTGAGGGGTGGTGCTGAAGGCCCCGCCACCTTCCTACCTCTACCCCTCCCTCCGCCCACCTCCCCCCGCCCCGCCTCCACCCCCAAGTCCCACAACCACTACCAGCTCCAGGCTCCCCCCAACCTTGAAGATCCACCACCACCTGCTCCTGACCCACCCAGCCCCACCCCTTTCTCCCGTAACCCCACTCCCAGTACTACATGCTCCCCCACCCTTCAAAGCTCACTTCCTCCCCAAGTTTCATCCCAGTCCCCTCCAATTTCATCCACACCTTTGTTCCCATCCTGGCCTTACCCCGGTCCCACTCTCTAGTTCCACCTTCCATCACCTGCCTGGCATGTTGTCAGCCTTCAACTACTTTTTATGTCGGAATGTAAGGGGCTGCAATAGTGAAAAGTTAGGTTCCTGCCCTCAGTGAGCTCAAATTCTAGTGGGGACAACTAATAATCATCAAGGAAATAAATACACACGCACTCACACGTACACGTAGCAGTAAGTGCTGAGAAGAAAACTTAAGGTGCAAATGGGAAATGAGAAGGAGGAAGATGTCGCGGTGGAGGGGGTGATCTCGGGAGGCTTCTTGAAGGAAACAGTTATGTAGAGACTTGGCTGAATTAGGGAATGTGTGTGGCCAAGGCCCATGTGGGTGCCAGAGTGGAGTCAGTTTAAAGGGTGGTGTTGGGAGATAAGATGGGGGTGTGTGTTGCGGGGAGCAGACTATGCAGGACCCTGTCAGGTGAGGAGATTTTCAGGGGCAGAGAAGGCAACCACCTCCAGTTATTTCAGAGGCCCAGTTCCATGCTATTCGTTTCCCATGGCTGCTGTAACACATTACCACAAATCTGATGGCATGAAACAACAGACATTTATTCTCTCCTATTTCTGGAGGCCAGAGTATGAAATCAGTATCACTGGGCTGAAATCAAGGTGTTAGGGGGCCATGCTCCCTTCAGAGACACTGGGGAGAACCTGCTCCTTGCTTCTTCCAGGTTCTTGTGGCTGCCAGCATTGTTTAGCTTGTGGCCGCATCACTCCCATCTCTGCCTTTGTGGTCACATTGCTTTCTCCTCCTCTTCTGGGTGGAATCTCCCTCTGTCTCTCTCTCATCAGGACACTTGTGATTGCATTTAGGGCCCACCTGAATAATTCAGGACCACTGTTCCATTTATAGATCTTTAATCACATCTGCAAAGTCCTTTTTGCCATATAAGGTAACATTAACAGGTTCCAAGGATTATGACTTGGATATCTTTTGTGGGAGACATTATTCAATTTATTATATCTACCCTTTCTTCTGATATCTGGTAATTCAATGATTTATTCAATTCTCAGTGCAGTGTAAACCTTGACACTTGTTTCTTTTTCCTTTTTTGTAATGCGATTATCTGATTTAAGTTTTGATTGTTGAGGCATCCATTTCAAAGAGGCATCCCCTTCAATGTGTTTATCTTGAATAAAAACATTGCCAGCCACAGGGCTAGATAAAGAGTCAGGCCATCTTCCCCCATAGAGCTTCCTTTGTTTTAGAGATCTTGTTTGTTTTCAGTAACTGATCATTTGAGCTACCAGTTGTTGTTTTTTTTCTTCTTCCTGGGCTTTAAATTCCCACCCTTAAGTTTTAAATTTACCAATAAAGAGTGAGCCCACAAAATCAGCAACCCCAATAAAACAGAACCCCAGGTGCTGTCTCTCTCTCTCTTTCTCTCTCTTTCTCTGTGACCTCACTGTGTGGCCCCAGGAATGCTGTGTAAATTCCAGGTCTTGTAAAGTAATAAGCCTCTGTTTTTTCAAAGTTCCCTGATGGGTATCACTGAAGGGCATCTTGCACTCATAATACCAACCACAAGGGCCAGTCCAACTATAACACTGGTTATCGATATGCTGAAACTGGCACAAAACACTCAGACTAAA